GGCGCTGGGCTGTGATGCTGCGTGAGATTCGTGTATGAAATGAACTGAAGTGAGAGAGGGAATCAGTCTCTTCATGACTTTGTATTTTTTCTATCCTCGTCTACGGGATTTATCACATCAATCGTGATAGGACCCTTTTCCTTCGAGGAAATACGTGGTTCTGCTATTTAAACTGTCAGTCGGATGGGTGCAAGATGCGCTGATATGTTACAGAATCGCATCGTCCCTAGTCTGGCTGATAAACACCCAAGGTTTGACTTTTATGCAGGATAGCGCTCCACCCCATATTGCTACACGTGTGAAAGATCTCTTGCACACATCACTTGGTGAAGATCGCGTGCTGAGCCACTACTTCCGTCATGCTTGGCCTTTCAGGTCCCCAGATCTCAGCCCGTGTGATTATTGGATGTAGGATTTCCCGAAATCGCAAGGTGTACCGCGATCGTCTGACTTCATTAGGGATGCTAAAAGACAATATCCGAATTCAGTCTCTCACCATACGTACAGGCATGCTGCACAGTGCTGATTGTGCAGTGAAAAATGAATTGTTATGTTAATTATTGCTTTTGTTGTTATATTAAACGCCAGCTATTGGCCGTTTTAAGCACTTTTTTTGCTTTTAATAAAACCTTGATATTTCAAGCGATTTTTACCTCTGTACCTACCTATGCTATTCGTTGAATTCTTGAATTTTCAAATGTTAACGGAGTTTTGGGTCACTCTTTATACTGCGTAGAATCGTTTGCCCTCCTTTTTTAAAAAATATTTAATGAATAACTGTTGGAATTCCGTGAAAGTGGGAGAATTAAAGAATCTGATGAAGTTATACTGTTTTATTCGTGGTTTAAAAAGAGTGAATTTTTCAGAAACTTTGCTGCATCATTTTTAGAAAAACGTATTTACTTTTAGAGGACGGCATTTGATAATAATAAGCATTTAAAAGTAATTTTACGCTTTTTTAAAAAATCAACGAAGCAAATCAGTGATTTTTCAATTATTATTTTACAATAAAAACCAAGAATAGCATATTTTGCATTTTTCTCTATAAAGCTGAAAAATTCCAAATAATTATAAATTTAAGTACAGTCTGCTTAAAGAGAAAGAACCAGATATTAAAAATATCAATAGATCTGCCGCCCTTAGCAATTTCTAAATATGTTATAAGTACAAATTCTTCTTTTGTGTGAATTATGTTGTCTCAGCATTCTGTCCGTGAAACAGAATAAGTAAAAAAATAGACGAAACTCAATGCTACCAACGCCATCTCTCGTGAAAAGCAAAGCTTCACTAAAAAGGAAGCGCAAAAAAAGAATCGAATAAAAGCGATGAAGAGGAAGGGGGAGTAGAAAGGGAGGCGCGAGCTAAAATATGAAACGAAATAACAGAACGGAAAAGGAAAGAAGGAAAGTAAAATAAAAATCAATACTATATCGTTCCAAGTCGCTGAGCTTTGCACCATCTTTTTTTCCTCGTATCATACTACAGAATGAAACAAACAGTAGCGGGAGATCTACATCTCTAATCGCTGGAGCGCCAAAAAAAGATGTCTGTCTTCTCTACTCTCCCCCACTATCAACTCTTTGTCTCGAACACTAGAAATTCTTGTTTGGTTATATCCTAGACTAGCTTGTCTCCGATTCCTTAGACATCTGTTTTTCTTTGCATCCGATAGTTAGTTACTTTTCTAAGCCTTTCTTTTCTTTCGCGCCATTTCTTTCTTTGTTCGTTTTGCATTAAAAACGGTTTAACCAATCGCACGCGTGGCTTTCCGCCGCATATTATAGAATTTCCTTTCTTTGTTGCTTGTTCATGGCAAACCAGCGATTAGAATGTGTATGCGCGGCCAAGTGTAAATTTCCTGACGGTTTGTCGTTGTTGTTTTTGCACTCTTTGTGCTTTTTTATACACTCCGAACATTGGTTTGCATTGTGTTCCATCACAGTTATATGGTTTCGAAAATGCACCAACATGAAGTTGACATCCATGATTTGAATGTGAAGATTTGTTTCTTCGTAATTCAAACCGCCAATGCATCTGCATCTGCATTTAAAAGAGAAAAGAAAACTGATTTAACTGAGTATTTGACCGTAAATAATTATTCTCCGCAGATAAAGAAATTCAGTGAGAGATTCGTATTTTATTAAAAAGTATTTTTAAACTTTATATAAGCAAGTTTTCTTCGGTTATCCGCTATACGATTAGGGAGCCAGAACTTTTCTTCGACAATAACATTGCCTATAATTTATGTCCTTTGTGAGATCACTTACCTGACGGTGTTCCTCGATTTATTCCTTACTTTTGTTAACACAAATGAAAATACAAAAATACAAGTATTTTCAGAGCTGAAACATTTTTGCAATGAATTCATTTTATATTTCGTGTATGAATAACAACCGTGCAATATGTATGCAAAGTACAAGCCTACACCCTTGTGTGTGCATATCTGAAGTAAAGAAAAATATATAACTGAATAAAACTAGATTTAAATTTGTATAAAATTCAGCTATAGATTCACGTCGGTGTTACAGGAAAATTCTACGCATGTCGATGGAGATAATCATGAGAACCGAATGGAAGCAGCAGAAATGTTCTATGGTATGGAGGTATGTCACTTAAATATTAAACAAAAATAAATCAAAAACACCAAGGAACAATCACAGTTTCACCTGTCGAGCATAATAGAAGTCAAAGATATCGAAATTATTAGTTAATTCCGTAAAACGTTGCCAGAGGTGCCTGAAATTAATATGATTATATAAAATTTGTTTGGCGCATTTGGATGGTTTCATGCAAATTTAATTCATCAAAGGAACAAGTTTTGTCAGTAATTTTAGCGATACTAAAGTATAAAGGGGAAAAAATTAAAAAGTCAACAATGAAAAAGTTAATTATATTACTAATTATAAGTTTTGGATTTTATCATGACCGTCCAGACGGACGGTATAGTAATTAGGAAAGCCGGCTGCGATATCGAAAGGCCCGAGTTCGAATCCTGGAGAAGACATGGAGGAAAACTGTCTGTCACCTCATAGGAGGTAAAGGTGGCCGCCTATTAGGTGCCTCCATAATAAAATGACCATCACTTCTAGCCTTAGTAGGGGCGAAAGCCAAAAATGACTAGAGCCCGCCATAAAAAAAAAAAGAAAAAAAGAAAAAAAGTCGTATTCAATAAAATTTATAAAGAACTAATTCAGAATTTGTTTTCTTAAAGAATGCAGTTTGAGGGCCTTTGTATGGATAAAATGTGAAGCGTCAAAAATTGAGCAAATACTTGTATTTTTATAACACTGACATATTTCATAAAGGCGTTTTCGAAGTTAAAATTATTCAGCTTCATTCCTTATTGTATTTTAGATTTATTTATCGAATTAGATTAAATTTATGCCATGGAGATTATCTAATCTCAGCTCGTAGCTTTTATCTAAAATTCGTTTACTATTGATGATGTATATATTTACGATATATAGGAATCTTAAAGAAAATATGGTTTCTGAAAAGAAACGTTTTCCTTAGCGGAAGAGTAATCGCTAAATAACGACCCAATTCATACTTTGAAATAGGGTGGCTGACAAAGCGAAAGTTAACTGTAATAAATAGCTTTTAAGAAGAAAGTACCGATTGCAACTCAAACTCACCCAGTCTTAATAAGCGGTCATGTAGCAAGGTCTTAAATTTTGGCACCTCCGCCTTCCGTCATTTTTCCATAATTTTTATTTGTTATTTACTCCCACTGTGGGCGGACCTTTGGCTCTATTACAGAGGCATAATCCGTTACGCTTGCTTTGTGGATCAAAACATTCAGAAAAGGCAAACCCATTCAGTATGATTGGGATTGGTCTTCCAGCTGTCCGCAGTGTGTGCAACGAGCCAGACCTAAAGAGGAGAGGATAGATTCTCCCACAAAAGAGCAAACAGAAAAAGGGCTGGGGAGGTTCTTCAGAGCTTAGCTTTAAGTCCTTTCGTCAACAGCTGTTTGTGTCGAGGGATTCCCCTTTTTGAGATTCACCCCCTGTTCATTATGGTCATTCTTCTCTTCCCCTTTTGGGAATTCTCTTCTTTGGCGTGTGAGTTTGACCATTCTCTCCCTAGTCTAAAGCCACTGACCATTCTGGTCTCTGTTATCAAATCTGAGTCTGAAATCAAATCTGAAAAACTAAGGTTTATGTAAAGGATTAATTTCAGAATAATGATTTAAAAAAGTTATTTTAAAATTAATTTATTTACATTGTGTGTTACGTATTCCTAAGTTAGTAAGTTTTGCCCTATTGAGATAGTTCACAATAATAGACAACCAGTTTTCGTATTCGTATATTTTGGAATGATACCATCTGCTACAGAAGTTTAAGGGTAAACTTTTTTTTTTTTTTTTCCGAGGAGGACATCGACATCATTGAGGAAACTCCAGCTTTCAAGGAACATGTTAAGATCATGTAAAGGTTGGAACACCATGTGGCGATAAGTCTGGGACTGATGAAACGCGTGTTCCCAATAAAAATGCCCTGAAGAGCTCTTTTATCAGTTCATTACTACTGTGTCGCTAATAAGAATTTTCTCCATATAGTACATCACAAAATATTGTATTGATTTGAAATTTTTATTATCCTTGTATTCAAAAAACATTTCGCTCTGCATTTCAGACCGATCGATTTCTTAAACATTTCTTAAACATTTAAACAATCAGAATGATCCGTTTTTATTTTTTCTCATGCGGAGCTTTGATGATACATCTCTAAAACTAATATGCGACGTCTTAAATTTCCGTTGCCTTTAATTTAAACAGCTTAGTTATAAAATACATATTTATGACCATTATAGCCAACTGGTTTCAAAATGAATTGCCTAAATGTAATGTCTCAAAATAGTGAAATTAGTGGAAAATTATTTTGTTCCTTTTACAGCATTTCGTTCCTTTTTTTAATAAAAATAATGTTATTAAGATATTTTTTATGATGCATATTTTCAAGTAATTGCATGGTTACATTCCCTTCCCTTTTTTGCAGGTTTTCGTAAACGCATCACATCGGATTGACGCCCTATAGAGTCAATTTTGTTTCATGGTAGAGGTAAGCATATCAATTATTAGCATTTCAGTATTTTCCAGATTATATTTTCAGTAATTTTCAGTAGTTTGTACAATGGATATCCGTTCAACTAATGAGTTTTATTTCTGATAAAATTATTTGACTAGAGAGAGTTTTTTTTTTTTTCCTCTTAAAGAAGGATATCTGTATTATGTTTCTTTTATTTAAGTTTAACTTCTGAAAATTTACATATATTTAAATGCACATGCATGCAGTCTCATCATTTAAAAGTCGCTAGATTAATAACTCTGAAAATATGCTGTTTTTAAAGTTTTGATAGATTTTTCAGGATGGTTAAATTTCAGATGAGTCTGAGCTACATATCACAATTTTGCCGTGTCTCTTCAGGAGCTTAAATAGATATACAAATATGCATTGTTTCAAAACTAATTTGTACAGAATTTGTACATTATGTATAGAGAAAGAAACATTTCAAATAAATTAACAAATTTATTAATTAATCTTATATAAATTAACAATTTGTCTTGCTTTTGCTGTATAATTAGAAAAGTGTATCACTATAATATACAAATTTGAAACTTTTGAGCGATATACTGAAATTTTTCCCGATTCAGAAAGCGAGACATTTTCTTCAAATTATAATTTTAGAAAGAATAGATTTAAATCGAAAGAAGACTTAGTCATCTTTGTTATAGCATAAAAAGTTTTTTATTGCAGTATAAAAATGAATAGTTTTGCAAAACTGAACCAGTGATTTTCCCTTGCTCTTACAACATTATGTCGGAAAAGTAAAAACGTGTATCTGAATAGTTGCAAAAATTCTGAAATCGAAATGCGGAAATTATTTTTAAATAAACAATTAATTCTCTGATAATTTTGCAGAAAAGAGTGATAATTTAATTTCTCGCATACAACGAGCACGAAATATCAACTAACGAAGATGACATTTTAACTATTTAGAAATAATTTAACTAGTTTATTAGATGAGAATTGAAAGGTTAGATAATTTTTTTTTCCAATCAATTTTATAACTATGCATATTCTTGTGCTTTCGATAAGATTTCATATATTTACTTATGTTACTTATACATAAGACAGATGTATATATATTTTTCTGCTGTCAACCACCAGTGAAGTTAAATCAAAGAAATATAGTTTTGTTGATTACTTTTATATTTAACGGCCAGCATGTATTTTAAAATTATTTTAGAGTTATTATATATTTTAAATTGGTGATTGTTAAAAAGGGGGCTTTATAGTGTGATGTTTAAAGCTGTATTTCAAAAATAAAATTTTTGCTTGTTAACCTATTCTGATGGTGGGTGACAGAATTTAGGAGCGGGAAACTTTAAAAGAATTTAGAAGAACACCAAACAGTTAAATTTAGAGATGATAATATTTTTAGAATTTCGGGAAAGCAGAATTTAGCGCAGCAAGATTTTTATAATTTAAAGGGGACCGGGCAGGAATGCCTCCAGTGCTGCATGATTATAAGAGAATAAATACCTAGGTACACTTTGGAGCGGGGTGACTCTACCGCTCTACTCTCCCGTTCTACTGAGCCGATTGACGAACTTTAACTTGCATTTTTCTTGTCTCGAAAGGACGATTTAGGATATATATTATATACAGCATTGTTCTAACCTAGGTATTTTGACACAAAAATCGGACTTTTTCTGAAATAATATGTTGATTTTTTTCCGTATTTCGATTCTACGAAAAAAAAAAGTCGATTTGTCATTTCAGAAAAAGTACTATTTTGTGTCAAAATACGTATATTAGTTTATTGGTATATACAAATCTAATATAGTATATCCTAAGTCGCGCTTTCCAGATAAGGAAAAAGCAAGTTAAATTTTGTCAATCGGCTCAGTAGAACGGGATATATAAGACTGCCCTCCCCTTTTTTGTGCAAAGTGTACAGTCGTAAAAAAAGTGGGGGGAGCAAAAATCTTAGACCAAGCAATAACAGAGAAATCAGATGAAAAGGCTGGCAGCTGAACTGTATTTTATTGACCCTGATATTTGAGATGTATAAATTTGAGCCATCAGCGGCTATCGGGCAAAATAGTTCATAGTAAAATGAGTGATCAAAAGTAAAACTGAATCAGTCATATAATGTAACCCGCATGAATTGAAGAAACCAATCCTAAGAGTTACATTCGGATCATGGAGAATGGTACTTGGCCTTTCAAAATTGTGAGATATAGTACAATCACATTTAATAATCTTTGTAATTTCTTGAAATTTTGAACTTTTGACGCAGTTATTTGAAACTTCTGGACGTTCACTTTTGATAGTCAGGCTATTTAAGTCCTGATGAGTGATATTATTTTTTAAAAACCAAGGCGTGTTGAAGATGAAACGAAGTAGATTGTTTCATACAATATACAATTTTTGTTGATTTTACTTCGGAAGGTATACTAAACTAGAGACGCATATAGAAAAGTCGACCTAACCATGTTAAGATAAATCAGAGTTTACTTTCTAGGAAAAAAAAAAGATTTTTTTTTTCTTTTTTTCAGGATTTAGATACACTATTATAAATTCTGTGTAAAACTTTAACGAGATATAGTTAATATGTTGAGAAAAATTTAATTTAACAATGTTCAAGAATTTTCGTTTTACTGAAATACAGTTTTGTATCCACTGAATTATATGGTTTATGACGGTGGTCTTTAAATTGAGAGTTCCGAGACTCAAAATAAAAATGCGAAAAGAAGTTAATTAGTGTTAATTGTTGGTGTTACACTATTTAATCAATGTTTATTAACTAAAAATTATAAAATACATAATAAACTGCTTAGATGCAGATTATTTTTAAAACTTAACGTGTTGTCATCATCTATCGAAGAAAATGATGTGCAATATATTTCAAAACTAAACAGTTTTCTAATAAAAAAAAATAAATTGAATGTCGACGTCAGTGTTTAAAATTATAATAAGTTTGTAGATCAGTAGTTTATGAGAATGAAAGAGAACCGAGGCTGATTTTTGAGCGTTAATCTATATTCTGCAGTTATTGCTTATTTCTTCTTATTACAATGGAGCCACGTTTGAAGGGTCGAATGTCTACATCCGCCTCGCGAGCCGCAGTTTGGCCGTGTCTGGAGAAATTTCTCATGGCTTATTTCGTCTGTCGAGTGTAATACAATTACGATACAACTTTATAGCTTTTTTTTATGATAAATAAGTGTTAATACTCAGTTAATAATGTTTATACGAATGAATAATAACGCTGTGCAAAAGTTGTATGTGAAAAGTAGCAAATTAATAACAGTCGTTTGTTTATTTATATATTTATTTTCCCCATCACAAACCACTTCTGTACGAGAAATTTTGTTATATTTATATGAATGCGGCCTTGTAGTCAGTATTTAAATTTTGTAGTAGATTTAACCTTCTCATTTCCTGCTGTAACTTATTATCCTAATTTTTAGACTAATTGCTAATATTTATTCATTATAAACACAAAAGCTATATCGTAATTGTATTACACATGATGAGGTCATTTATCATTAGGAAATTGCAACTGTCGCGTAGGGGTAAAATACTAGCTTGACCAATGATCCATTCACTTATGCTGAGGGTAGATAGAGACCATCGTATCTCCCCAAAGAGTGGGAAAGACCACGTACAGTTTCAAAGCTCTCTTGGGAAAAAGTTGAAAAAAGCGGGGATCAGTAACGACTGTTAAGAGTATTTTATTAGACAATGGTGTAAGCTTGATCCAGATTGCTCTGAGAACGTTGTATTGTAATCTTGGTTATAAGTGTAATAAAACAAATCATAACAGAGAAAGAAGTGTTTTATCGAGCTTTCCACAAAACTTTTAACGACTCATTTTTTAGCATTTTTCATAATTCTAGAGATCTGTATTTCACTTTATATTAGAGAAGGCCAAATGCAGAAGTAAACAGATATATTCCTCAAACTTCTGTTTCGTTTAAAAATTACTTCTGTTACTTAAGTGGCTCAATAGTACCTATCTGCTTGCGAATAAACTCCTATATTGGAAGAATTTCTAAGGGAATTCAGTTTATACTGTACATACGTTCGGAAATGATAAATTCATTGAAGAACAGATTTTCGGGGTAAAATATAAGAATTTAGGGGATTTATTTATTTATTTATTATTTATTTTTTTTTATTATTTTTTATTTATTTATTTATTTTTTTTTTTTATTTATTTATTTATTTTTTTTTTTTTATTTATTTATTTATTTATTATTTATTTTTTTTCAGTATATGACATGACTTCATATAACAACGAGGGTAGTTGTCTAGTTAGTACCACGAAAATGTGAAAATTTAAGAATTACAGTTGGATACTAATTTTAGATTTCTGATTCAAGATTCATGGATTTTTATCGCATCGAATCGAACCGTGTTGAATCGAAAACTTTGTTGCACATTTGGTACTGTCAAATATTAGTTCTTGAAATAATAATAACTTTTTAATTTTAATGCAAAAGGTCAAATAATTTAAAATGAAAATTGAATAAATGTAAAACGGGATAAAAATATTAATATTAATGAAATTTATACAAATATAAAAAATTGATGGAAAGTGAAAGCAGAAGATATTGAATTTAAACATTATTTAATTTTCCAGCACAAATAATTCCAAAACTGCTAACTCCCTCCCCCCCCCCCATTTTTTTTTTTTTTTTTTTTTTTTTTTTTTTTTTTCTTTTTAGTTTATTTAATTGTGCTTATTCTAGCAGGGATTTTTTAATAAAAATCAGTGATGCAAAACTTCTGTAAGACTTCGCTGATTATAACAGATTTAAACATTTTTTAAAAAACAATAACCTATCTAAAATTAGAAATTTTCTTTGTAGTTTTTTAATTAATTAATTAATTAATTTTGTTATTCTTGTTTGTTTCTGTGAGGTTCAAAACCAGGTTGTTTATGGTCAACTAGTACGTTGAGAGGCAGGCAAATTACCTGAGAAATCCCCGTTTTCGGCTTATCAGTCTATAAGTGGTAACTTCGCTGAACTCTCGTAATTTGACCA